GCCCAGAGCCCGATGCGGGGCTCGAACCCACGAACCGTGAGATCATGACCTGAGCCGAAGTCGGACGCTTAACCGACTGAGCCACCCAGGTGCCCCAAAAAGGACTTTTTTTAAATGTTTATTTACTTTTGAGAGATAGGCAGAGCATGAGCAGGGGAGGGGCAGAGAGAGACAGAGACACAGAATCTGAAGCAGGCTCCAGGCTCTGAGCTGTCAGCACAGGGCCCAACGTGGGGCTCGAACTCACAAACCATGAGATCATGACCTGAGCCGAAGTCAGACGCTCAACCAACTGAGCCACCCAGGTGCCCCAAAAAGACATCTTTTTACTTGTGACAATATGGATGAACCTTGAGGACATTAGGTTAAATGAAAAGCCAGGCAGAGAAAGACAAATACTGTATGATCTCACTTACATGTGAAATATAAAAACAAACAAACAAATGAAACAAACTCATAGAACGGAGTGTTATTTGCCAGAGGTAGGGGTTAGTAGTGGGGAAAATGGGTAAATGTGGTCAAAAGGTACAAACTTTCAGTTATAAGATAAACAACTCCTGGGTATAGATATAATATACAGCATGGTAACTATAGTCAATAATATTATATATTTGAAACTTGTTGAGAGTAGATCGTAAATTTTTTTTTACGTTTATTCATTTTTGAAAGACAGAGAGAGAGCACAAGCAGGGGTGGGGCGGAGAGGGTGGGGGTACGCAGAATGTGAAGCAGGTTCCAGGCTCTGAGCTGTCAGCACAGAGCCTGACATGGGGTTCGAACTCACGAACCATGAAATCATGACCTGAGCCGAAGTCGGATGCTCAACTGACTGAGCCACCCAGGTACCCTGAGAGTAGATTTTAAAAGCTCTCATCCCTCCCCAAAATTTGTTACTTATCTATGATGACAGATGTTACATAGACTTATTATTGTGGTTATCATTTCAAAATATACACATATATCACATCATTATGACATACACCTAAAACTAATATGATATTATATGTCAATTATATACCAATAAAAAATTAGCTCAAGTAACTATATTAACACATTTTTTTAAATGTCTGTTTATATTTGAGACAGAGAGAGACAGTGTGTGAGCAGGGGTAAAGGAGGGGCAGAGAGAGGAAGACACAGAACTCGAAGCAGGCTCTAGGCTCTGGGCTATCAGCACAGAGCCCGACCCGGGGCTCAAACTCAATGGATCGTGAGATTATGACCTGCAGAAGTCGGGCACTTAACCGACTGAGCCACCCAGGTGCCCCAGATAGAGTAACTATATTAATTTTAGGTAAAGCAGAGTTCAGACTCACAGAACTAAAAGGATAAATTAACAAACTCACATACATATCTGAAGATTTCAAGATTTTTTTCTCAGTAATTGAACAAGTACACAGAAAATCACTAGGGGGAAAGAAGACTCAAGCTTCTATAAATAAGTTTAATATGATTGAAGTTCACTCTACCCAATAGTCCCCAGAATACACAATTTTTTCAAGTGCATTTAAAACAATCATCAAGATAGTCCATATGCTGGCCAATAAACTAAATCTCAAAACATTTTTAAGAACTGAAATCAGGTTCATTCATGAATTAGGTTATTAGAAACAACTTAATGTCTACTACTAATAACAAAAGGACACCTGGAAAATTCTAAATATTTGGAAATAAATACACACGAGAGATATTATAAGATATTTTGAAGTGAATAAAATGAAAATGCAATATATAAAAATTAGTGGGATGCAGGTATAGCATTGCCTAAAGAGAAGTATTTTATACCCTTAAATACTTATATAAGGTTTAAAATCAATAATCTAAGCTTTCATTTTAAGAAAAGTTAAAGACAGAATTGAACCCAAAGAAAATTAAGGAGTGTAAGGGATCCTTAGGAAAATGGCTTTTTTTGTTTTTGGTTTTCAGTATAATTAACATAGCGTGTTATGTTAGCTTCAGGTGTACAATATGGTAATACAACATTTCTACACATTACTCAGGGCTCATCATGATAAGTGCACTCTTAATACCCTTTTATCTATTTTACTCTTTCTTCCACCCACTTCCAGTCTAGCAGCCACCAGTTTGTTCTCCATATTTAAGAGAGATTTTTTGGTCTGTTTTTCATTGTTCATTTGGTTTGTTTCTTAAATTCCACATATGAATAAAATCATATGGTATTTGTCTTTCTCTGTCTGATACACTTTATTTAGCATTGTATCCTCTAGGTCCATTCATGCTGTTGCAAAAGGCAAAATTTCATTTCTTTTTATGGCTGAGTAATATTCCAGTGTGTGTAATATTCCACACACACATATATACACACCACATCTTCTTTACCCATTCTTCTATCAGTGGAAACTTAGGTTGCTTCCATATCTTGGCTATTGTAAGCAATGCCACAATAAACATAGGAGTGCATGTATCTTTTGAATTAATAGTTTTGTTTTCTTTGGGTAAATACCCAGTAGTGGAATTACTGGATCATATGGTGATTTTTAATTTTTTTTTAAATACAATTTATTGCCAAGTTAGCTAACATATAGTGTATATACAGTGTGCTTTTGGTTTTGTTTTTGAGGAAACTCCATACTGTTTTCCACAGTGGCTACACCAGTTTGCACTCCTACCAACAGTGCACAAGCGTTGCTTTTTCTCTACATCTTTAACAACACTTGTTATTCCTTGTGTTTTAGGTTTTAGCCATTCTGATAGGTGTGAGGTGATGTCTTATGGAGATTTTGATTTGCATTTCCCTGATGATCAGTGATGTTGAACATTTTTTTAATGTGTCTATTGTTCATTTGTAAGTCTTCTGATGGAAATGTTAGATATTTTAATTGTGGTGATAGTTACAAGGGTATAAACATGAAAAAATATACATTTGACAAAACATTTCAAACTCTGTTATTTTAAATGGGTGTATCCTACTAGTAAATTTTACTTCTGTAAACTACATTTTTTGATGTTTTTTTAAATTTGTTTTTGAGAGAGAGGGAGGAGTAGAGAGGGAGACAGAGAATCTCAAGCAGGCTCTGTACTGTTAGCAGAGAACCCAACATGGGGCTCAAACTCACAAATCGTAAGATCATGGCCTGAGTCAAAATCAAGAGTTGGACGCTTACCTGACTGAGCCACCCAGGGGTAGCTTTATCATTTTTAAAGAATAATGCAAAGTTCAACAATTTTGAAATTCTTGCTATCTTACCAACCCATAACTAGTAATAACAGATTATTGATAATACAAACTAAACATCTGATAATCCATTTCTCTAAAAAACTATCATAAACAACTTAGAATTAAAGAATTCGATTTAGGGGCGCCTGGGCGGCTCATTCGATTGAGTGTCCGACTTTGGCTCAGGTCATAATCTCACGGTTCATGAGTTCGAGCCCCACGACGGGCTCTGTGCTGACAGCATTAGAGCCTGGAGCCTGCTTCGGATTCTGTGTCTCCCTTTCTCTCTGCTCCTCCCCCGCTCATGCTCCATCTCTCTCCTTCAAAAATCAATTAAAAAAAAAATTAAAAAAAATTAAAAAAAGAATTTAATACACTCACCTAATTGATTACCTCCTAGTTTTACCGGTTCTGTCTCTACACTATTTAATTTGCCACTTTCTTGTTTGTCATTACAAGCAATAAGATTCTGAGACAACTGATTCGCGGCCAGGTTTGCCTGAAGCTTTTGAATTTCTGCCTCCTTTATTGCAAGTTTAATCCTGAAACAAAACAAAATACACCAAAAACTATTAGAAAGATCTATATAAATATCTCCCACCATTTTTACCTTTCAAGTTGGCAAAAATTTTAAAATTCTGATTATTAGTTAACTCTTGGGCAGGATGTAGAAATTCTTATATACCACTGATGGGAATGTAAACTGGTGCAACTACTTTAAAAACTTGATAGTACCTAGTAAAAGTAAAAATGTACACATGCTATAACCCAGCACTTTCACTTTTAGGAATATACACTAGAGACACTCTGGCATATACATACATAAAGGTATGTACTTTGCAGCACTGTTTGTAACAGAAGAAAACTACAGTTCTAGGTGACACAGTTCTAGGACAGACTCCTATACAGCTATTAAAACTACCTACACTAATCCACCCATTGACTGTAACTACCCACCTCAACATGTATGAATTTAAAAAATAATGCTGAGTAAAAAAGCAAAATTACAAACAATATAAGCATATATATTTTGCATGTATGTGTGAATGTAAACATACACAAAATGGATGGAAGAATACGTACCCAGTTCATGATGGTGTATTCTTTTTTTTTATTTTAATTTTTTTTTTTTTTCAACGTTTTATTTATTTTTTGGGACAGAGAGAGACAGAGCATGAACGGGGGAGGGGCAGAGAGAGAGGGAGACACAGAATCAGAAACAGGCTCCAGGCTCTGAGCCATCAGCCCAGAGCCCGACGCGGGGCTCGAACTCACGGACCGCGAGATCGTGACCTGGCTGAAGTCGGACGCTTAACCGACTGCGCCACCCAGGCGCCCCATGATGGTGTATTCTTAAGAGGAGAATGAGACTAGTGGGAAAGATCAATGGGTATTGTCCACCCTGTAATGTTTTATGTTTTACTTAAACACATTTGAAAAAAATATCACAGAATGTTAAGAAGAATCAAGTCTTAGTTGTGAAAACACAGTTGTTTGTTTTAATACTCGATGAAATTTTCTATATATTTTTCATCTTCTCAATTAAGGATTTTAATTTAACTGCCAATTTAAAAAAAACCACTGTATTTGCTACAACTTCAGCATCTGAAAGCCATACCTCAATTCTGAAATCAACATTTTATTTGCCTCACAGCAGCCAATGTAATTGTCTTCCTTGTTTGACAAACTACTCATCTGGTGCTTAGAAAGAGATGATTTAAAACCAAACACTTCTCTTTTTAACTGCAAATTTAAAAAGAGACATACATAAACTTACAATATCTATGATGCAATTGTTTTATTCAGAACTCCAATTTTGAAAAATTGTGTGAATTTAATAGAAACAACCTAATGTCCGTCAACAGGATAAATGTAAAAATACATTATGAAATACTGAGATAACAGAAAAATCACAATAGTTAAAATAAACCTGCATTATATAAATCATTATGGAGGTATCACATAATATAACATTATGTGAAAAACAACAGAGGCACATGTAGTATTTTCCAAAACACTTTAGCTATATTTTTAATTTTTTTTAATGTTTATTTATTTTTGAGAGTGAGGGAGAGTGAGGGAGAGTGAAGGGGAGGGAGAGAGAAAGAGAGAGAGAGAGAGAGAGAGAGCGCACAAGTGAGGGAGGGGCAAAGAGAGAGAAAGAGACAGAAACAGAGAATCTAAAGCAGGCTCTGCACTGTCAGCAGTGCCCCATGTAAGGCTCAACCCCACGAGCCCTGAGATTATGACCTGAGCTGAAGTCAGACGCTCAACCAACTGAGCCACCCAGGTGCCCTTGCTGTATTTTTAAAAATAAAATAAAATAGGTAAGAGTCAAAGAAATAAAATTGGTAAGTCTACCACCCATCCAAATATATTTGAAACCGGGGCATTTGGGTGGCACAGTTGGTTAGGCATCCAACTCTTGATCTCGGCTGGGATCTCACCACTTGTGAGTTCAAGCCCTGCGTCAGGCTCTGCGTTGATGGTGTGGAGCCTGCTTGGGATTCCGTCTCTCCTTCTCTCTGACCCTCCCTCATTTGTGTTCTCTCTCTCTCAAAATAAATAAACTTAAAATTAAAAAATATATACATATATACATATTTGAAATCAGCCATGACACATTTATATAGTTTTCTCCTGATCTCACCTTTATTTTACAATTATCAGTAACAGATTTCTGACATAGTTATACTTAACCTTCTTTCTAATCTCACTTATATATATAGTTATATATGTAACTGAAAGAGAAATGATGGCCATCTGCTATCATAAAAACATTTTAATAAGTACACGAAAAGTTGCTCAACATTATTAGTCATTAGAATAATGTAAATTAAAACCACAATGTGATACCACATCACACCCACTAAGATGGCTATAAATCTAAAAGACAGACAATAACAAATGTTGGCTAGGTTGTAGAAAAACAGGAACTCTCAGACATTCCTGGTGAGAATGTAAAATGGTATAGCCACTTTGGAAAACAATTCAGTACAACTTTACCATATGACCCAGCAATTCCATTCCTAGGTATGTACTCAAGAGAAATGAAACTATGTCCACACATAGACTTGTATGCAAATGTTCATAGCAGTATTGTTCATAATAGTCCAAACATGGAAGCAATCCAAATATCTATCTACTTACTGGTGAACAGTTAAATAAAATGTGGTGTATCCATACAATTGAATAATATTCAACAATAAAGTGATATGGAGTACTGATATATATCACAATGAATGATCCTCAAAAATTTTTAGAAAGCTAAAGACCATATATTGTACAATTTCATTTATATGAAAAATCCAAAAAAGACAAATCTCTAGAGGCAGAAAATACATTAGTGGTTCCCTAGGGGTGAGTGTGGTAAAGGAATCTTCTGAATGGTAAACTGAAAACTGGACTGCAGTGATTGCTCCAAAACTTGTAAGTTTACTAAAAATCACTGAATGGTACAATTAAAATGGGTGAATTCTGTGGTATACAAATATTACTTGAATAAAGCTGTTTTTTAAAAATCCTGTGCCATTCTTACATAGGGCGTCTGAGAGACTAAGAAAGGGTAGGAGCAGAAAAAGAAAAGGGATTAGGTAGAAAAGAAATTCATTACTGAAAGTATAGATATGTAAAAAAAAACATAAAGTAAAAGCTAATAAAGCAACCACAAAATGATGATCTCTTATAAAGCACTTGAGTAAAAGTTTCCTTTTCATCCATACTTACTGGCAACTGGAACATAACTTTTTCCAGACTTCTCAGTTCCACCCTTGAACTCTCTATTTCTTGCTGACACAAATCCAGTCGCTCATTCTGTGCTGCAACACGGACCTTTAATTCTCGGTTTTCATTCATTAGAGAAAATTTTTCTCTCAGTACTTCCTCTTTGTCTTCTAACTCACTCTCTAGCTTCAGAATACTTTGTTTAGATTCAGTTAGTTGTGCCATAACTTCTGAATTTTTCACTGCCATGATCCTTAATTTTTCTTTTCCATTGTTATTTTCCTCTTTTAACTGCCTATGAAGAAAAAAACATAAAAATGAAAACAAAATATATATTTATTTTCAGTAAATCCTAGTTAATCTCACTTTTAAAATATTTTAAAGCAGGGGGTGGGGAGGGGAAAAATGGGTGACGGGCATTGAGGAGGGCACTTGTTGGGATGAGAACTGGGTGTTGTATATAAGCGATGAATCACAGGACTCTATCCCCAAAACCAAGAGCACACTGTATACACTATATGTTAGCCAACTTGACAATAAATTATATTAAAAAATAAACAAATAAAAACATTTAAAATTTTTCAAAAAATAAAATATTTTAAAGCTTTAATTCTGAAATAATAATACCTGCTCACATTTACCGAGTACCTACTTTCTGCATGCCAGGCACTCACAACTTTATGTGGGTAGCATGATTATCACTCTCTGTTTATAGATAAGGAAACTAAGGTATATAAAGGTTATAAAACTTTCCCAGTGTCTCATAGTAAGGAGGAAGGCAGGATAACTCCATTATCTTTGAAGCACTTGTGCTCCCTTTATAAAAGTATAAGACAGGAGATCTAACTCCCACATCCTAATTCAACATATTGCAACTTCAAGAAAGTTTTAGGTTATATAAGAAAAAATCATGAACTATTAGCCACAACTCTAAAAGATAGTAATCAACCATTAACAGATCACTAGGCAGTAATATTTTCAGATATGTTTGTGTTCATCTTCTCTAAATATATGCAAAGCAAATATGTTGATCATATCACTCTATATTTGCAAGTATATTAATATCAACACGTTTTATTCATTAAAAATCCTAACATTATACCCAGAAAACAATTGCAGTCATGAAACCTAGCTTTCTATGTAATTTAAGGCCACAATTACAATATACAAAATATTCTATTTTAAAACGTTTCAGTTCTTTCTCCATTTCCACACAAAACTCCTTTTTCCATAACAAGATACTGTACCTTAATTTTTCTTTCAGAATTTCAAGGTCACTTTTATATACACCACACTTTTCCTGCAGCCTTTTATTTTCTTTTTCACAGCTAATTAGATTTTTCTCTAATATTTCTTCTTCAACTTGAACCTAAAACAATAATTTGTTTTAAGTGGACATACTACTGTAGTCATAAATTTTAGGTGTTTCAAACTAAAAAGTAGTGACTTCAGAAATAAGCAGGAGAGGGGCGCCTGGGTGGCGCAGTCGGTTAAGCGTCCGACTTCAGCTGTATGGCAATTCGATCCAATGGTCCGTCAGGAGTTCGAAGTCCCCAGGCCAGGTCTCTGGGCTGATGGCTCAGAGCCTGAGCCTAGTCCGATTCGGCCCTCTCTCTCAATCTGCCCTCTCCGCTTCATGCCTGTCTTCTCTGTCCCAAAACTAAATAAAAACGTTGAAAAAAAAATTAAAAAAAAAAAAAAAGAAATAAGCAGGAGAGTAGAGTAAGTATTTCACACGTTTAAGTCCCCAGCCTTGTAGTGAAAGGAGCAAAGTGACGGGCAGTAACAAAGGACGAGGAGGGGGATGCCACCGCCTGTCCAGAAATGGTTGAGAGCCTATGACAGACGGGCAATGGCACTATCACCCGACAGGAAGCATTCTGGCCTCACGGGAGCAAAGCAAGCAATTTATGCAGGGATGCTGCATGAAATTAACAAGAGGCTAACTATGCTGCAAATGTTATGGAGAAATAACTTTTGAAATTTTAGCCACAAGATACTCCCACTTAAATTATAGTCCAAATCTAAACCAGATAAAAATCAAGCACTCAGGTGAGAGTGGTGGGAGTGACAGAATAGGCAGATCTGCCTGTTACATCGACCTAACTAGAGGTACCTACTGAGTGTGGTTTGAACTGATAATCCTAAGGAGAAATGTGAAAAAAAAAATCATCTTAACATTTTTCTCTTTCCTCTATAAAGTCCTCCCTCTCCCTGAACATATTACCCCTGCTAGGTATTCTATCTCCCCCGACAAATTACCTTATTAAAAATCCCTCCTACAAAATTTCATTCCCACAGGGATCTTCTCCAAGGCCTTCAAAACAGTGATCTGATTTACACTTAAGAACAGTATCTGACAGGATTTTAAGAATTTTTCATTGAAATATAGTTGACAAACAATGTCACATTAGTTTCAGGTGTACAATACAGTGATTCAGCAACTCTATGCATTATGCTGTGCTCACAAGTGTAGCTATCATCTGACGCTACATATACTATTATAATACAATTGACTAGATTCCCTATGCTGTACCTTGGATGCCTGTGACTTCCACATGCCATAACTGGAAGTCTGTATCTCCCACTCCCCTTCACCAATTTTGCCCAACACCTCATCAGTTCTTTGTATTTATGGGTCTGTTTCTGCTTTTTGTTTGTTTATCTTTTAGAGTCCACATATAAGTGAAATCATATGGTATTTCTTTATTAAACTTTTAATAATAATATTTCTTCTACCCTTCTACCTTTCTTTGAACAGAATCATTAACTTTCTCTTTTTCAATTACTATCTCAAGATGGAATTCTCTCATGTTAGTATCTATCAACCAGACCTCTCTTCTGAGCTCAATGTCTGAATACTCAACATGTGGACTTCCTCCAAACAGGTTTTATTATCCATATGACTTGAAAATATTAAGTGAATGTAATAAAGTCACTATACTACCATGTAGAATCTGTTAAAGGAATTTTCCCTTTGAGAGGAAGGAGTAAGATCCTCTCAGGGTGGTAGGTCCAGGGAGACAACTGAAGGCTATACAATCTACTCTGTCTTCATTTTCATGGAGGTGATAGGAACAAATTTTCTGCTTCTACTTCTACAGCTCCAACCTCTGCTCACTCACCTCATCTTTCTCCGTATTCTTTTCTTTCTCTGTATTTTGTTCTTCCCCTTGTCTCCATTCTTTTCCCACTTTGACAAAAAAGTTTCTGCTCATTATAAGATTATGAACACCAGCCTTAGCCAATATTTACAATTCTTTATTCCAATGATTTTATTACAAGGTCATAAAAATTATTCCCCACTTTAACTATAAACAAATACATTCTATTTATGTCTATTTTTATTTTTAGAATATGGACAGTTCCAAAAATACTGAATTTGCACAACTGCTTCTTACCTTTTCCAGTTTTTCAGCCACTTTTTCTTTATAATGTTGGAAAGCTTTACTCAGCTCTTCAGCATTATATAGTGCTTCATTCCTTTGTCGTTCAGCTCTAAAATTTAAAAAGGGAGAATAAAAGTAAAGAGTGCTCTGCATTTAACTAGTGAAACTCCAAAGTAACCTATATTTTATTATAAGAAATAATTAGAGACAAGCAGTACTAAAAAAGAGTAATGAGCTTAAGCTGCAAAATGAAGAATAGAGACTACAATAATTTCCTCACTGTATCAATATGAAAAATAAAATATAAAGCACCACATAAACTTTGAAACATACATACATTCTTATGTGTTAGCAATTTTTTTCTCTATCTGGAAAAGATCAGGGAAGCAGCCTAGGCTGTATAAACTCAAAAATCAGAATTTCAAAATATTACAGAATCAATCCATGGTCTAGTATATTAGAAATATTCGGTAAATCCTGTGACCTTTGCAAAGGGCAAGTAAATTTTCAAAAAGGTATTTCAAAAGACAGTAGTAACTTCCAAAAGATGTAAAAATCTGAACAAAAAAATCTACCCACTATGAAGCACTGTCTTAGTTGACCCTGACCTTTCCTCATACTTTTCACACTGAGTTGAGACAATTGGGCCAATGTAGTCAATTTCATAGCTACCTCTAAAAATTATTCTATTATTTAAACCTCTTCTCATCATATTCATTCCAATGTAAGGGTAGTTAGTGACTCTACTCTTATCAAGAGTGAATTTCTCTACACTCTAGACCTCAGCTCTTCCCCTTTCAGGGACTTAACTCTATCTTCTATACTTTCAGTCTCTTCTCTACTGGTTTACAAATTCAATGGAAGTATCTCTTACTTTCTAAATATATGTAGTACTTAAGTTTGGATAGCAACTGTGGATATCAAAGTGTCTATCTGGTTCCAAAGTTTTAGATAAATGGTAATGGTTTAAATATTTTCTTAAATGTTTATTTATTTTTGAGAGACAGAATGCAAGTGGGGAGGGGCAGAAAGAGAAGGAGACACAGAATCCAAAGCATGCTCTGAACTGTTGGCAGAGCCCGACGCAGGGCTTGCCAATGTCGGACACTTAACCGACTGAGCCACCCACGTGCCCTGGTAAGAGTTTAAATAATAAGGGATTTATCTAAAAATCTAAGAGAATATATTCCATTACATAGTTTGCATAAATAGAGCTCAGAGGGCAAAGGATACCTGTATTTCTCACTTAAACAAAACCCTCCACTGATATGCTTTCCTCTCTCGTCCTTGCTTTTAAGACAAACTTAGCCACTTTTACACTTACCTACTCTTCCTCACCACCAATTAAAAAAAAGCAAAGACAGATTTTAGCCATACAGAAAAGTATACATAAACATCCATGTACTCCCAATCAAGCTTTAATGAATCTTCTTTTTTTTGTTTCATGTAGCATTTTTTACTTTAAGCAAACATTATAGACATTACAGAGCTGAGGTCCCTGTGTCCCTTCCAAATCCCATTCCCCTGACTTCTTCCAAAGGTAACCGTAGTCTTTTTTTTTTTATTACAAAACATTTTGTATGTTCACATGTTCACCTAAACCCACAAGTAATACATCCCAGTTCACTTATTCCAAGAGGCACATTATTTTCATCATTTTAACACCTCTAAAATTGGTATGTATTTTATAATTAATGGTATATAATAGTTTCACGGTGATATTTTTCTTACTGATTACCTAAATAATGATGCACCTGAAGATCTGTGTAATCTTATATTCAATAAAACATCATAGTTTCTTCCCATGTTTTTATACTTTATATGATCACCCTATATAATTTATAGCATCACACTATATAT